CACTTCCAAACAGGCAGGTACAGGGGTTCCTTTGGGGAAATATTTATCCTCCATCCCTCTTGTCTCCCCAATCCTTCTAGCACCACCTCCTATATCATTGTCGGCTTTTATGTCTTTCAACCTGTAAATGTTTGTGCTTTTGCTGCTCGTTTTGAAAAGTGTACGCTTTAGCCTTACACACGGGTGAATTCTGTGTACTTGGAGGATGTACCTTGTAACTGGAACTGTGGGCATAAAGCCCTCCTCCTGTGGGGGTCCTGTGGCCCCTTAAACAGCGACACTCAGAATATACACCAGACAGCCCCACGCACACACACACCGAAATATTTATGTCTGGAACCCCAAGTTCAGGCAGCACTTGTCTCATCTGCCCTTCGGTCGCGTTCTTCCTGAATCCTGGCTGCCTCGTTTCAGTAGCTGATTAAAATCTTTCTTACTTTCTCAATACCTACATGGGGAAAGTCCACTTTGAAATTCTCTTTTCCATCATTTTTTACTTTACAGTTGAGAGGCCAGGGAGGAGCCGGGGAAAGCACCTCTCTCTCTCTCTTCCTCTCTCCAAAGGATGTAGGGAGTGTGGATACCCTCCCCACCCCCACACTCCCTCTTTGATGCTCACCCTGATCCTTGCAGAATTAAGGTTTTCCTTTTCATGCTTGCTGACAGGAGCAGAGGGGCCGCCCCAGGAAGAGCCCGGAACAGATTCTAATCTTTGAGGTGCCCCAGCTGCTGGCTCCCCGGGAGAAGCTGAGGTCCAGGGGGGAGGGCGGTCACAAAGCCTAGGTTTCCCTGAAGCGCGAGGACCAGAACAAGAGACGGGAAGCGCCACTCGGGACCCGAGTTTTTACTGGGGGACAACTTACTGTGCTCGCTGAGTGTCCACACCGCAATCTCCCCTCCTAGAGTAGACGCCACAGAAGGGAGAAGAAGGGGGGAGGAGACAGGGAGCCACCCCCTCTGTCACCTAGAGCATCCCTCCCTCGGATGCTGATGGGAGGACCCTCCGGAGCGGAGCGGCGGCCCTTCCTCCGGGCCCTCCCGGCCCGCTGCTCAGACAGGTAGTTGGGAGAAAAGGAACAAAGCTCCCAGCGGAGACAGGCGGCGGGTCCCCTGGCGCCCGGGGGCGGGGAAGGCCGAGGCCAAGGCTCCCCACGCTCCTGATCCTCCCTCCCGACGCGCATCCTCCGACCCCGGGGGGACCCCTCCCCTGGGCTCCCTCGCGCCTCCCGGTCCTCGGGAAGCGGTTCTCCGAGGGGACGCGCGGCGGCCGGAGAGGAAGCGGGTGCGCGCGGGTGCGGAGGGAGGGAGGCCGGGAAAGTGGGGGTGAGTGGAGGGGGGCGCCCAGGAGGAGGCGGAGGGCGGGGCGGGGGCGGGGGCGCCCCCGGCGTGCGGAATCGGGCAGCTACCGACTGCCATCCTGCAGCGATTTCCCTGTGTCATGGCTCCGGTCTCTTAGCAACAGCCACCGGTCCGGCCGCCCCGAGCCGCGCGCCGCCCGCCCCGGGCTCCACTCCACCCGGCGGAGCCCGGCGCGCCCGCCGCGGCCACACAAAGAGGCGCCGGCGGCGGGGCGGCGGGGCGGCGGGGCGGCGGCGGGGAAGGCGGCTCGCCGGCGGGATGCGGCGGGAGGAGGACCTGACACTTCTTGGAAACTCTTGGAAATGGCTCCCGCCGGGGCGCCCGAGCGGGCTGCGCGCCTGGGGCGGGCGCCGGCCCCCGCGGGGCTGCTGAGCCGCGCGCGCTCGGAGGCCGGGCCCGCGGCGCCGCCATCCCCGCGCCCCGCGGCCGGCTCGGGCGGAAAAAGTTTCTCCATGCTGCCTTTGTGTCGCCCGAGCGCTCCATCGCCGGCCCTGAGCTGCCCCGGGCTCCCTGGGTAAGTAGTGAGCGATATTGTTGGCTTCTGGTGCTGCCATTTTGAGCAATTCTGTCTGCCCCCGGCCCCCCCAAGCTGCCGCTTCCCACCGGGTCCCCGGACGGGAGAGCCCGCCGTCCGGTCCTCCCAGGCGGGCCGTGCGGGATGCGCTGCCCACAAAAGCCCGTGCAGATCGCCCTCTCTCCGCTCCCGCCTGCCCTCCTGCCGGAGGCGGACTCCCAGCCGCTCTCCTGTGACTCCAACACACACAGGCAGCCGGGGAGCGAGGCGAGGGGCTCCCTGCGGGTCCTGCCAGGGAGGACGCGGGGGTCCGGGACCTGGGCTGAGTCCGGGCCAGGGCAGGGCGCTCCCCGCCTGTGGGCTCTGAGCCTCTCCCGCAGAGTGGGGCGCAATCCATCATGAGCCCAGAACTTGAATGTGTCTCCTGGAAGCAGTTGTATTTTTAGACTCCCCCCACCCCCCACCCCATCCTTCCATCCTCCATTCCTTAACCATAGAAAGACCAGCACCGGGCAGGAAATTTCGAGGGTAGCCAACCTAGATTGCTAAATTAGTTTTCCCTCTTTCTGTATTGGGGAAGGAGGTGGGGCGGGGGAGGGAGGGGAAAAGAGCCTCAGAGGTGGTCTTCCCTCACATGTGACCACTATGCTTAGTGGTGATACATTAGAAAGACGCTCAGCTTTCAACAGAGCGGAGGAAAAATAAACCAGGGAGTTCGTAGCTAGTTATTAAACTAATCTTAAAGGTCTTCCGTGAAGGATGACTGAGACCAATTCCAGTCTTCCTTACATTCTACCCGGAGCCAACGAAGAGAAATGCATTGCGGGGGCTTCCCTCCCCAGGGCACCCAGCAGCCTGGTGCGTCTTATCTGTGCCCAGCAAGATGCTAGCCCTTCTCTCATCTGGGAGAGTCACCTGCCAGCCCAGTCCGGTTTTGTTTCTAAAATGTCTGGCTCCTAAATCCTTAAAATAAGCACAGATCTACAGATAAGATGCTAGAGTCTAAGGGGTCACTAAAAACAGCAGTCTCTGTGTCACAACCACATAACAAACGTGCTTATTGGGGGGATGGGGGGGTTAGATGGACAATAAGCTACCCTGGGTTGTGTGTGTGTGTGTGTGTGTGTGTGTGTGTGTGTAACAGACTATATTTCTGCAGTTTCTTGAAACAAAAATTATAATAGATGTATTCTCTCCATTGACCCCTCTCTAACCTACCTCATATTTCTCCTTCCTGAAAACCAACTAAATTCTAAGGAGATGTGGACTTGCAAACATTGCAAAGAGCTGATTACCATTTGCTTTCCCTCTGGTGGAGAAAAGATCCTGCCTAGATTGATATGATGGAGGGAATCGAGGGCCAAAGCTCTTCCTTCACCCAGGCACCAATTAAAAACGAAATCCTACCTAAGCCGGCCCACATTTTCAAAGGGTAATTTATTCTGACACATGAATTATTTTATAAAGGATAAAATGCCAAAAGGCGTATGGGTGATACCTAAGCCTTTCATTTTTGGAAACTAACAGATAGCCACAAAGACGCATCTGCATTTACAGAACTTCAGCTCTATTATCAACAACTAAACGTCCTTTAGGATACTTCACTCCCTGATGGCTGTCGCCCTCCCTTCTTTAAAAGAAAAAGAAAAAAAATGACCTCGTGAGAAAAAAAGATGAAGAAAATGTGTTCTCAGTTGGGGAGATGTCATTTTACAAATCATCATTATTACACTGTGCCCAGTTAATTGCCTACTCATTTGAATTTTGGGATTCTGAGAAGTGTTGACACATTAATAAGGGGTCAGAAAGCGGTTAAGGCAGACTTTTTTTTAAGGTGGTAATTTTCCCGCAGGAAAAAGAGACCTTTCTCTTGGAGGGTGTGGGGACCTCTCAGATCTCCTGAAGCATCTAGCCTATGGTACCTGTCTGGGAGCTCCTTGGAGGGAAGGGAGGGAAGCCAGAGGAAGAGCTGCGTTACATAACCGGTTACCTAAAACTGAGTATTCCCCTCCAAGAAGCTGTCCAGATGTTGCAGGAAAGAGATGATGAAAAGGCTCCGAAAGGGATCTGCTCGCCTTTAGCTGTGGGAACGGTCGTAGGGGGAAGATGTTTTTGTGCAGATATTTGTCAGAGCATTGGGCCCTCTCTCCGGTGTTCTGCCAGCAATGGGCTCTCTGTTAATTCCCTGAGGTGAACAAGCTGCCAGCATATGTATGACCTTTAACCTTCACCCAGTGAAATGAGTTCCCTTTGTATACCATAGTTACTTGGGGGACTGTTTTAGCGACTGTTGACTGCACCTTGACGAATTACTGGCTTAGGTCGAGAGTTTAAATTCCTGTGGCAAATCCCTTGGGACTCTTCTGATTCCAATAGGATGGCTTTTGCCTGGAAAGTCCTCAGCTGCTACTTTGAGAACCCACATTTGGTGTCTCCTAATGGTCAGAGCTCTGTGGGCTGCAGCCAGGAGAGTTTGAAATGAAGAAGCTGGAATGTTAGCCATAGAGTGTATGTGAATGGAGGCATTGAGGGAGTGGGGAGGGGAAGAGAAAGCCCTCTCTTAAACTGTTTGATCGCCTTCTATCAATTTTTGCAACAACTCTGCCTTTCCCTAGTCCAGCGGTCAGCAAACTGTGGCTCGCAAGCCACATTCGGCTCTTTGGCCCCTTGAGTGTGGCTCTTCCACAAAATACCATGGCCTGGAATAGTCTATCTTGAAGAAGTGGCTTTAGAAGAAGTTTATAAAAAATTTGGTTCTCAAAAGAAATTTCAATCCTTGTACTGTTGATATTTGGCTCTGTTGACTAATAAGATTGCCGACCACTGCCCTAGTCCATCTACCCCACCCCGGTCTCTCTAGGCCGCAGGCCGCACTCCCCTTAGTGTGTGTGTGTGTGTGTGGGGGGGGGGGTGATAGGGGAAGAGGAGGCACACCTGTGGAGGGCTGGGGGGAGCGGGACAGTTGCAGCGCGGGGCATGTTGCTGCAGCCAAGCCCCATCGCCTGACTGTTGTCCTCTGCTTTGCAGCAGGAGGAGGTGGCGGAGCAGCTAGCGGGCAGCTGGCGCCCCCCCTGCACCGGCCTCCGCCCCCGCTCCCGGGGCCAGCCCCGCACGCTCCCCGCGCGCCATGATCGCCACCGGCGGCCTGCTGAGGATCTCCGCCCGGAAGCAGGACCCCCTGCGCCCTCCGGGCCAGGCGCCCAAGCGCAAGCGCAAAGTCCAGAGGAGGCGCAAGAACGACGTGGTGGTGGTGAAGGGCAAGCTCAAGCTATGCTCCATCTCGGGGCTCATCGCCCTGTGCGGGATCCTGGTGCTGTTGGTGGGCATCGCCATGGCCGTGGTGGGTTACTGGCCCAAGGCCAACGGGGCCGGTCGGGAGGGTGGCAGGCAGCTGCCCCCCGCCAGCAGCGGCCACCGCGGCGCCCTCACCGCGGCCAATAACAGCAGCAGCGGCAGCGGCGGCAAAAGCCGGGCCCAGGGCCCTCCGGGGCCGGGGAGGGGCCGCAACACCAGTTCCTCCGCGGGCGCCGCCCCGTCCCCGCCCTCCTCCACGTCGGTGGGGTTTTTCTTCCGTGTCTTCTCCGGCTACCTGAACTCGGACAAGCTCAAGGTCCTGGGGCCCCTCATCATGGGCATCGGCATCTTCCTCTTCATCTGCGCCAACGCCGTGCTGCACGAGAACCGCGACAAGAAGACCAAAGTCATCAACCTGCGGGACCTCTACTCCACGGTCATCGACGTGCACAGCCTGCGCGCCAAGGACCTGGCCGCCGCGGCGCCCCCCGGGGCCGCCCCCCTCAATGGCTTCCTGGGCTGCGTGCAGGCGCGGGGCCTGGAGCTGAAGCCCGGGAGCTGCATCGGGGGCGCCGGGGACGCCTTCGGGGCGGCGGCGATGCTGGCCCGGGGCTCGTGGCCGCACCCCGCGGACCGCCGGGCCAGGGACCCCGCGTCCCCCCGCTGCCCGCGGGAGCCCCCGAGCCTGGCGGAGGCGGTGTACAGCATCTACCGGGAGCGCTCCGGGGTGGCCGGCCGGCGCCGGGCCGCCGCCGCCGCCGTGGCCGCCGCCGCCACCGCCACCGCGGCCGCGGGCAGCAGCTGCAGCACCCCTGGCCCCTGCAGCCCCCGCGGGAGCTGGGGCCGCCAGAGCACCGCCAGCTCCCTCCTGGACTCCTCGCTGAGCGCCTTCGCGCTGCTGCCCTTGCAAGGGGACCGCGACGGGGACGGGGACCCCGAGGGCGCGAGTTGCAGCTGGCACAGAGCCCCCGGGGAGCGCGGCTCCGGGGAGATCCCGCGGGGCGAACTTGACCTGAGCTTGACCGACGACCTCCGCGGCAGCCCGGGGGGCGCGCGCTGGGCGCCCAGGCAGCGGGTGCAGGAGCCCGGGGCGCAGGGAGGGCCGCTGCCCAGGACCGGCAGGCAGGCGGCCCCGCGGCGCCGCAGCACCAGCGGGCTCCCCGACCGCCGGGCACCCCTGTCCCCGGAGCCCCCGCCCGCCCTGTGCAGCGAGGACCTGGATGCCGCCCCTGCGCCCCCCGCCGGGCTGGGCTCGCCCAGCTCCCAGTCCGAGGACCTATCCTGCAGCCAGCAGGACTACACGCCCCTGCGCGAAGCGGGCACCTCCTTGGAGTCGGTGGTGGACGCAGGAGCCAGGAAAAGTCCAGACTGTGAGGCCACCGCCAGCCCGGGCCCTGAGGAGCAGAGCCCAACAGAGACCGTCCGGGATGGCGCCAGCCCAGGGCCGTCCAGGGACCAGCCCCCCCTGGCAGGGCAGAGGCAGTTTACTGAGAAACTCTGCATGGTTTCCGGGTCTCAGGCCACAGGGGTAGAGGTCGGAGAACTGGAAAGCACTGGCGATTAGCTGGGGAAGGAGTGAGAAGATGGACTCACCGCCTTTCCTTGTGGACCTACCGGAGGAGATCTCCCAAAGAGCTGCAGAATGTCATCCTGGAATGGTGTTCACAGATTCCTTAGATACTCCAAGCGATTTTTTTTTTAAAGTAAACTAGTCTCCTATGGCCGAAGGTGATTGTATGTTCCATGAAAACCAAATGTATTAAAAGGTCAGCGATCTAGTTCACTAGATAAAATGCTCTTAATTTTCTTAGGGTCAAAATAATATATTTTTTACAGTAACTGTGCACTTTAACTTCTTTTTTGAGTCCCTGATTCCCCTCACCCTGTATTCTGCTGCTGGTGTTGCCCTTAGCCGCTTGTGAATGACAAGCTTTTTTTCTCCTGCGCTTTTGTGGATCATAGAGGAGGGTTTGATTCAGAACGGACATGACTAGATGAAGTCAAAGCCAAAAGCATGAGTATGTCAGGAAAGCGCCCTGTCCTTACCCCACCCCACTCTGCTCACCCAACTGCCCAAAGGCCTCTCTATTTTTTAAAAGGATATTTACATTTTGCTACCAGGGTTGCTAATGGTGAGGGAGGGGGCCAGCTTCTAGTTGGACTGTTACATTCCCAAATTCACTATATCAAGTAGTACACGATACTTCATTGAGTACCATCACACCTGTATTGAAAATAGCATTACTATTAAAAATCTTTTTTAATAAAAAAAAGTTTCCAAACAAGCAAATATAATATCTCCTCATTTTGCCTTGGAACTAATGCTAACACAAACATTTAACAGTTTGACTAATAAATCTAAAATATTTTGCTAAGATACAGCTACTATGATTATAGTTATTGTCCTCAAAATGCTCAGCGCCATCATCGCTCAAATAATTTCCAGTTACATAGAGATAGAATTGACCATTTAGGAGTTTCTCTTTCAAATAGAATTAAGCATTAAATACATAGTAATTATTAATAATGCTTCAAGTTTACCTCAAAGTATTAATTTACAATACTTAAATTAGGCTTAATATCCTGTTTCATCCTCTTGGAGTTGACTATTTGTAAGTTCATAATCTACTTGTTGTTAATCCTCACCTGAGAATATTTTTCCATTGATTTTTAGATAGAATGGAAGGGAAGGAAGGAAGGAAGGGGTGAGGAAAAAGAGAGAGAGAGAGAGAGAGAGAGAGAGAGAGAGAGAGAGAGAGAGGGAGAGAGAGAGAGAAACCAACCTGAGAGATATATGAATTGGTTGCCTCCCATACACTCCCTGATCAAGGCAGGGATCCAACTAAAACCAAGGCATGTTTTGACTGGGAATTGAACCTGAGACCCATCTGATGCTCTAACCATTGAGTACACCAGCCAGAGCCAAGTTCATATTCTTGAATCCCATGGTCTACATAGACTAAAAGATAATGTTTGAATAATGTGGTAGGTTTTTTACACTTGATTTTATTAAAAGCCAGTGAGTTAATTTTTAAGAATATGAGCTATTATTAGGAATGGTGTCATTGTTTTTGGGCCCCTGGATACAAGTTCTGCGGTTGCACACAGCCAAAGCTCTCATTGCAAGAGATTAAAATACTGATTTTAAAGGAAAATTCAGTCAAAGATGTGGTCATGTTGGTCCCCAGGGGTGTGAGACTGGCCCCAGCTTTCGTCATTGGCTAGCTGCATTGCTTTGAAAGTCACCGTGCTGAGTCTCAGTCATTTATCCATAAAAGAAGAAACTGGACATATCTCATAGAGCTATGAGGTGGGGGACAAAGAGTTTAAGTACAGAGCTGAGCAGAATACTTGGCTCAGAGTATGTACTTAATAAGTGTGGTTATTGTTATTATGATTATAATATGTTGTCTGAACGCATGCAATAGAAGAGTGGGGCATCCCTCAAGTTGAGCTCAAGAAAGCCTCTTTTAAAATCTAAACTATCCCCTTATTCTCCATAATCTTAACCAAATCTCTTATCCCCTCTGGGTCTCTGGTGGATGATGTAATCTCTATGAAAGCCTTTGGCTCTGAAAGCTTTACCTAAATTCAGGGTATTTGTTTTGTCCGGGATATAATCATATCATATTTGTACACACAACTTTGCAGTGAATATACTTAATAAACTATTATTTATTGTAATATTCTGTAATCAATTTTAAAGGACCTAGTTTATTCCCAGATTGAATCTGCATTAAGCTTATTAGCATTAAAACTGTGGATGAATTTATTTGGCACTTCTATATAGCAAAAGTGAGTTTCCGCTAGTAAAAGTGACAAGCAAGGGTAATCAGACCTCCGGGTAGTGTTAAATTTCAAGTCTCACATGTTTTCTCACACACACAGACACAAAAAAATTCAAATTTCCTTAGGTTTTCTTCTCTATTACCAAGCATACTGGGTAACTTAGATATTATATGATGAGTTGTTTAATATACTGTACTGGTGATTACAGTAAATTAATATACTGGGTAATTAATATACTGTATTGGTGAGTTGTTTAAAAGGAAAAAACAAATTCTAGTACTGTAAAATATAGTCTTCAGTCCTCAGAAAATATACTGTAACACATTTAGCAAATAATAAAACCACTCCCTTTTTAACTAAAGAGAGTGAGACAGATTAAATCTATTCTTTACAAGCTTTAGAAAATCCAGTCCAACTGACTAAACTTAATGATACTTATTGCCTAGTTAATTTAATCAGGTTAAATAAAAACGTCTAGTTCTTATTGATCTTATGTACATAGGCCCTCTGAAATTAACTAACTTCACCAAACTAATATACAATAGTTCAGTGTCAACTCACATCTATCTTAACCATTGAGCAATTTAAGTGGATTATTTTTTTTGCTCCTGAAGATAAAAAGGTTGAGCCCAATTTTTCAAATCTTGAAGTCTGGGCTTTCATCAGATCCCAGAAGGATCCTCTACAACTATGACAATAGGTGGAATTCACAGCTGTCCCCTTCTTAGGAAAAAAAGGTCTTCTGCAATAATAATACTAAATTTTTACTTACTGCATCCCATGGGCCAACCTCTGTTGCACATTCTTTACACATATTATTTTTATTCCTTCTCACAGTGATTCTGTTGGGGTAGGATTATTATTATCCCCATTGTGCAGAGAAAGGTGCTCAGGTCAGAACAATGGAATACTTGCCCAGGTTACACAGCTGGTGAGTGGAAGAGCCAGGAATTATAGTGTGGAGGATTATCTGGATCTATTGGCAGATGCAGAGCTGAAATTGGCACTTCTGAAGGTCAACAAAATATTGTCTACATTCTTAGCTTATTGCTAGATCCTTTTCCTGAAACCATTCTTGAAGATATGCAGAAAGTGTTAGAATGTACAGTGAGTTTAAAAGCTGTGATAGTCTTCAGACTGACATAAACTACTTTTTTCCATGTGACTTTGCAGGGTTTGTTGTACCAAATCAAGAGGAAATATCAGAAGGGATTTTAGAGATCATAGAATCCTCCCACTGCCAACCATTACTTGTAAATGAGTTGGCTAAAAATTAGGAAGATGGAGTAATTTGTTTAAAAGCAAAAAACAATAGCAGGACTATAATTTAAAATAATTCCAACTTGGCAGTTACATAACCCCCCCACCCCATCCCACCCCAGCAACATCACCACCACCACCACCACCACCACCAAAAAAAAAAAACATTTCTATCATACTAGCTGGGTGGCCATGGGCAAGTTACTCAACTTGGGAATAATAATGGTACCTACCTCACAGCACTAGAGCAAAGATTAAGCGAATTAATACCTGTGTAGTATGCTTACAACAGGCTTGGCACATGATAGTGTTATAAAAAAATTTTTTTTTTTAGTTTTATTGAAAATAGAATCAATTGCTAAACCGAATCATTACATATGGCCTTCCTTTTTATTAACAGAATAATGTTAGATTTAAAAATCTAAAGTGTGAGGCAACATAGCATAATGGCTCAAAGTGTAACTCAGATGCCACTGTACATGCATTTCCACATTTGTTAAATGTATATTAGTAATAGCCTAGGGCTCATGGAATCAGTGATTTAAATGCAGCAAACTAATATACTCAACTTAGAACAACTCCTGGCACAAATAAGCCTTCAGTAAATGATAACTACTATTACTAAGGCAAATACAGAAAAGTAATTAGTAGGCTAAGTTCCTAATCAGTTGTTAGTAAAAGTGCTGCACTAAAGTCTTTATAGTGTAAGTATATTAGAAATAAAATTAAATAAAAAACCTTTAAACATGAGGACAAGCCACTACAATGCCCCCAAATAGACCATGGAACTAATGAGAGCTAGATGTACGCTCCTCATGGCCCCATGGTCAAAATATTATAAAACAACGAACGATTGCCTGAGCTGGTCTAGTTGGCTGTATTTGGCCATGATTATTCCATTTCCACTGACAGAGGCTGGTCACATAGGAAAGGCCAGGCTAAGCCCTGGGTCTCAGCCCCGTCCCGACAGAGGAGCCATCAGGGAGAAAGACTTTGTTAGGGCCTGAAGTGAGGAGCAAGTGCATGTAGATTTACTTAAATTATTGGGACCAAACTTTCTCTATTAATGTTCTCTTTAGTCATTCTGGGTTCTTTTTAAAAATTCAGTTTTGAAAGAAACTTTTGAGTTAGAAAACTTAGAGAAAAAAAAAAAAAAACCTCCACCAACATAGAATCAGGACAAACTACATATATGCATTTGTATTTTGATCACAAAAGTATTTTTGTCAAGATATCAAAATAATTTTACAGTCAAATAAAGAATAGAATTTATATTCATGGAGTTTGTATTCTATAGACCCAGACTGTTCATTTGTTTATTTTTAATTTTTTTGGCTAAAAATCATTGGATGAATATGTAGACTGTTTTTGAATGACTAACTCTGGAGAGCATTCTAAGTATTCTTCAAAACTAATGACTTTCAATGGCTAGGGAAGCTATCTGTGTTTTGTATTAAAGCTGCCACAAGTTGAGGAGTCCATTTGCACCAACAGCATTAGTCAACAACTTCCTGC